TTGTAATTTCGGACTTGGGCGTGTGTTCGGATTCCAATTCGGATATTCCTTGAAGGTTTGGGCTCTATTTGTTGGAAGTTCGCATTTTGAAGAATTTAAAAGTTCATAAGTTTGACTGGAAGTTGAATTTGGTGTTATCAGACTCAAATTATGGTTTTGAGACCTTGTATTGGTTCATTTTGTTGATCAGGACTTATGTGTAATGTTTGGTTGTGTTCCGGAATGTCTAAGTATGATTCGGACGAGTTCAACAAAGTTGGGTTGTTTGGAAGTTAAGTTAATGATTTTGATCTTTGATTCATGATTTTGATGTTATTTGTAGTGCTTTGACCGGATGAGTTTGAGTAATGTATTTTGACTTGTTCGTATGATTGGATGGGGTCTCGTGGAGCTTGAGAGTGTTTCGGATCGTTCGGTGTCATGTTGGCATTTTTTATTTTGGTTCTTCGCACCTGCAAGGTTTGGTCGCAGGTGCGATGTCGGTTTTGCGGATAGGCTGTCGATTTTGTGAAGAGAAAGTGGTCTGGGGTTTTGTTTGCTTCTACGTAAAAGGAAGCGCAGGTGCAAGGTCGCACCTGCGAGCTTTTGGTGGCAGATGCGATGAACAGACCTGGATTGGGAGTTTGCATTTGCGTAGTGTATGGCGCAGATGCGGCGTCTCGTCTGTGGTAGTTTTAGCACACCAGCATAGCCGCAGATACATCAGGTGCTTCACAGATGTGAAGGATGGCACCTTGAGTGGAGTTCCCATATGCGAGATTGTTCTCGCAAATGCAGTATCACAGATCTGATGGTTTTTACTATGGTGGGGATGCCTCGCAGAATGTTATATTTGAGGGTTAGCTTCATTTTATCATATTTAAAGATTGGGAGCTTGGATTGGAGCGATATTTGAGAAAAATATCACCCACTTGATTTGGGTAAGTGTTTTTCCCCCGAATTTAATTATTATTTAAGATTCTATCTCCGATTTTGGGATTTGATTGATGAATCTAAGAAAGCAAATTTGGGAGTTTTTGTCTACACTTTAAGCGAGTGTATTTTGGAGGTTTGACCATCGATTCGGACCCAGTTTTGGAAACTATTTTGTTATTTGGACTCCAGGTTATGGGTGATCTAATTTTTGTATTGGTTTCAAATTTCGGGCACACGGTCCAGGTTAACTTTTTGGGATTTCTACAAAGATCGAAGCTTTATGGATTGGGATCGCTTCCTATAGCTTTATTTGACTTCCATGGATGATGTTCGTCTTGGAAGTGTGTGATTCGAGGGCTAAAGCGAGGTTTTGATGCGTTTTGTTGTTGGAGCTAGCCCGGTATGAGGTAAGCCTCTTGGCTAACCTTGTTAAGAGGGAAATCCCTAGGATTTTACTTCATTTCTATGTATTTAAGGTATTGGGGGTGTGTATATACGTGGTGGCGAGCGTATATGCACATACCAAGTATATATCATGCCCGATGTAGAATTGAGGTACTTTATAGCTTGTTTTGATTATGTACTCATGTTGATTCATGATTTATTTAGCTTATATGACTATGTTCGCTCTCTTATTCATGCTAAAGATCATGCCTAGGTTCATAATTATTTATGAAGGCACGTGAACTTGTTCTTGATATGTTGAACTACTTGAGTCATCCATAGTCATATAGAGATTTCATGATCACATATCTTCATGACTATTGTTATGTCCTTGTACGTCTTTATTCTATTATTCCTTGAGCATATGCTTATATATTACATTTGAAAACTTGATTTGGGCTGAAACTGTGGCACGAGAGGTAAGGTCGCGCGGTTGAAAAATAGTTATGGCACAGGACATGATGAGTGCATATTTGATTATGAGTGATTCTATTAAGCTTCTCTTTGCGCTTTGATTTGGTATCTGATACGCTCAAATTATACCTAAATAAATGGTGTAAGGCGGCCGATGTCAAATATAATAACCCAACTAGGTTGGGGTCGAATCCCATAGGGAATAGGTGTCAAACGGTTACTTGAATAGTGTGCAACTTAACTTAGGTAGTAATTCTATAAATGTTAGCTTGAAAATGGTGTTGTAATTATGTGTAGTAAAGAATACGATTGTATTGTGAGAATGTATTTAACTTGATTAAAGAAACCAAGGTTGTGTCCCCATCGATCGACTGTAATGCTATCGGTATTAATATGATATATTTCTAATGGAAAGTTCTTCGATATGAAAATGGTTTCTAAGTGACTACCCAATATTTCCCAATAGTTGGGTAATACCTTCTCTTTAAGATTTTCCCAAATATAAAAGAGTTGAAATTAAAAATAACCAATTTATGCCAAATAGAACCCACTTATTCCTAGGCGATTCTATTAAACAATGGTTAAAGCCTTGAGTTTTTGATATTCAATTCTACCAAACTCTAACCCACCTTTCCAAGTAGAGATTGGGTGAAATAGAATTAGTTAACATTTGCAACCACTAACAATACATGAAGCATAACAACTAAATAAATATCAACCAACCATTATACATATATTCAATGGTAAACACTCATTAACATTACACCCATTTAGGGTCCACAACCTTAGTAGTTAAAACTAGCTACTCATACGAGAATCCAAGAACAAAGGACTAAATGAAGTCATAAAGCTTACAAAGATAAAAGATTCTTTCTTCAAAAATATCCAAAACAATGGTGCATTCAATGCTCTAAAAGTAGTCTCTTTTTCTGACTCAATACCCCACAAAAACCCTAGTAAATCTATTTATAGTGGACTAAAAGTCTGAGTCAAGATTTGACAAAAATGCCCCTGCAGAACCCTTCTGCGACCGCATAATGGTCGCATACCATGTATGCAGTCCGCATAGTTGACACTTGCATCGCAGAATTTCAAATATTCAAACCCATATTTCCACCGCATTTCCATTATGCGGTTCAGATATCAGTTATGTGACCGCATTTTCCATATGGTATGCCTTGAGAATTTCCATTACCTCATCTTCCGGAACACACCACCGAATGATATTGTCGGCACAAATACGGAACAAAAAAGGCTCCTCCCAATAGTATTGCCTACACTCCCACAAGAACTTTTTCTTTTGATAAGCTTCCAATCAATCGGGGCAAGGTCACTAACCAAAATGTTAGCAATGTCGGCATACTAAGGAGCGAACGTGTTAGACAATGCCAATATGTGCTCATCTGGAAAGGCATCATTGATTTCAAGGTTCTCTTTTGGCCTCCCTGCCTCTTCAAGCCTAGATAGGTGATCCGCAACTTGATTTTTCGTCCCTTTTTGATCCTTGACTTCAAAGTCAAACTCTTGCAACAACAGGACCCACCGAATAAATCTTGGTTTGGCATCCTTCTTCAGCATAAGATAGCGAAGAGCGGCATGATCGGTGTAAACTATCACTTTGGGCCCCAACAAATAGGCCCAAAATTTTTCAAAAGCATAGACAATGGAAAGAAGTTCTTACTCAGTCACAGTATAATTCATTTGAGCACCATTGAGTGTCTTGTTTGCATAGTAGACAGGGTGAAGGATTTTGTTGTGCCATTGACCAAGCACCGCCCCAATAGCTATACCACTGGCGTCACACATGAGTTCAAATGGAAGGGACCAATCGGGTGTGACAATAATAGGTGTCGTGGTGAGCTTTTCTTTCAATTCCCCAAAAGCTTTGGCACACTTCTCATTAAATACAAACTTTGCATATTTTTCAAGGAGCTTGCACATGGGATTTGTAATTTTGGAAATGATTTCAATTTTTGCTCAGTCAACCTCTATGCCTTGTTTGGAAATTGTGTGGCCCAAAACACTGCCCTCGTCCATATGAAGTGGCACTTCTCCCAGTTTAGCTCAAGGTTTGTTTCTTCACATCTTTTGAGCACTTGCCTAAGGTTGTCAAGACAATACTCAAAGGAATCATCCACTACAGAGAAGTCATCCATAAACACCTCTAGGAAATCTTCCACCATGTCCGAGAAGATTGACATCATGCACCGTTGAAAGGTAGTCAGGGCGTTTCATATCCCAAATGGCATACGGCTAAAGGAAAAAGTCCCATATGGTCATGTGAACGTTGTCTTCTCTTGATATTCCAAGGCGATATTGATTTGGTTATAGCTAGAATATCCATCCAAGAAGCAATAGAAAGACCTTCCCGCTAGCCGATCAAGAATTTAATCAATAAAAGGCTTAGGGAAATGGTCTTTGCAAGTAGCACTGTTGAGCTTCTGGTAATCCATGCAAACTCTCCATCCAGTCACATTTCTCCTTGGGATGAGCTCATTGTTCTCGTTTTGGATCACGGTCATGCCTCCTTTCTTCGGTACACATTGCATCGGGCTGACCCAAGAACTATCGGCAATGGGGTAGACTACCCCGACATCTAATTACTTGATGATTTCTTTCTTCACCACCTCTTGCATGGAAGGGTTTAACCTTCTTTGATGCTCCACGCTAGGTTTACTTTCTTTCTCCAATTGTATCTTGTGCTCACAAATTCTGGCGGGAATCCCTCAGATATCCACTATTGTCCACCCAATGGATTGTCGGTGTTCCCTTAGGACATTCAACAAATGATCTACCTACACATCATTCAACAAAGAATAAACTATTACCGGTAAGGTATCATTAGATCCAAGGAATTTATACCTTAAGTGCGGTAGAAATGGCTTGAGCTCAAGTTGTGGCGGCTCAATAATTGAAGGCTTGGCGGGGGAAGTGACTCTATTCTCCAAGTCAAGAGAAAGTTTCTTTGGTGCATAAGTGTAGGACCCATGTCCTTCTAATGCATTCACCGATTCCATGTACCCCTCCATGTCTTCACCATCAAAATTCACCAATATAGCCTCCAAAGCCTCACCAAGGCATTTTTCTTCCATCTTCATCTCTATTTCGCCTTCTACCTCATCAACAACACCAATGACTAAGATGCTCTCATATACATGTGGCAACTTCATACCCATACTCGCTTGAAAGGTTACCTCTTCATCATTAACTCGGAACTTGATCTCATTTCATTCCGAATCCATAAGTGCTCTTCCGGTAGCAAGGAATGGTCTCCCCAAGATGATAGGGATTTCTTTATCAACAACACAGTCAAGGATCACAAAATCAGCGGGAAGGATGAACTTTTCCACTTTCACAAGGACATCATCAATGATCCCCACCGGTCTTTTGATTGAACGATCGGCCATTTGCAACCTCATGCTTGTAGGCTGCGGCATACCTAACCCCTCTTGCTTGTAAATAGCAAGAGGCATCAAGTTGATGCTAGACCCATTATCACAAAGAGCCCTTGCAAAATCTCACAATCCAATAGTGCATGGAATGGTGAAGGCTCCCGGGTCTTCTTTCTTTTGAACGGTAGTTGTTGCATTGATGGAACTAACCCGGTTATTCACATTCACTACTTCATTCTTAGTGGTTTTCTTCTTGGTGATCAAGTCCTTCAAGTATTTAGCAAAATCCGGCATCTCTTGAAATGCTTCCACAAATTGAATGTTCACCGATAATTGCTTGAGAATGTCATAGAATTTCTCGAGTTTGCTATCATCAACCCTCCTAGCAAGTCTTTGAGAGAAAGGAGGGGGAGGTCTAGGAATTGGTGCTAGATCTTTTGGTGTCTCTTTTACAGTCCTTGACCTCTTCAGGATTCGCTTCTTGGACTTTCACTTCCTTTGGGAGCTTTTTAACTTCAACAACAATTGGCACCTGAACTTGTGCCTCAACCTCTTGTTCAAGATAATTCACTTCAACCATTTGTCATTCTCTCCTTGAAGTACTTTCCCGCTTTGAGTTGTGATTGCCATACAATGAGAAGTCGGTCCACTCCCATTACCTTTTGGGTTTGCAATTTTGTCACTTGGGAGTGCGCCATTTTGCTTCCGATTTTGCTCTCTTAATAGATCTCTCATTTGCATTTCTAGCTTTTGTATGGATACGGTGTGTGACCCCACAAGTTCGGCCATGTTCTTTATTGAAGTGTCGTTTCTTTCTTGATTTTGCAATACTCTTTCAACCATGTTCTCCAATTTGGACTCATTTGAAGAACTTTCCTTCCAATGTGAAGAGTTAGTGTATTGCCTCTTTGGTGGAACATAGGGGTTTGAACTCCGGTTTAAATAGTTGTTGTTGTTGTTACTCCAATTACCTTAACTTGAACCACCTTGATCATTTCGCCACTGTTGATGGCCTTGCCCTTGCGGGTTAGGCCTCCATTGATTGTGTTGTCCAGGACCTTGGTAGGATTGTCTTTGGTAACCGCCTTGAGAATTATGGACATAATTTGCTTCCTCGCAATCTTCGTTTGACAAGAATTGCACATCTTCCACAACATTTATGTTTTTTGGTTGGCTTTCAGTGAACATCTTGGTTAACACATTAATGTTGGTAGAAATCCGGTAATTACTTGATCTCTCTCTTGGTTCTCCTTAATCATGTTGGTCAAAAAGGGAGTACTGTATGCAATTCCACCCGTGGTATCTAACGAGTGCCAAGCTTGATTATGTTCTGCCATCTTGTCAAGAATTTGTGTGACCCTTGTGAATGTTTTGTCCATAAAATATCCATCCACCACATTGTTGGCTATGGATTGGTTCAACGGATCCAAACCCATGTAAAACTTCTCCAACAAGATTGTGTCCGGAAAACCATGATTCGGCAACCTCACTAGATATAGCTTGAATCGATCCCGTGCCTCATATAGGTGTTCCCCCCGGTAGTTGCTTGAAGAAGAAAATTTTATCTCTAAGCTCGGACTTCTTGCTTTGTGGGAACCATTTAGCTAGGAAAGCACGGATGAGCTCAGGCCAAGAGTGAATGGAATGAGGTGGTAGATTTTGGATCCATTTCCTTGCTTCTCCAGCTAATGAGTACTTGAATACCCTCAGTCTTAGGGAATTATCTGACACGTTGCTCTGCTTGTGCATCGCACACACACCCAAGAAGTTTCTAAGATGTTGTGTCGGATCATCATCGGTAGAATTTCTGAAAAACCCCTCTGCTTTAAGCATTAGGATCAAACCATGTTCCACCTTGAAGGTAGCAGCATCAACTCGTGGAGGGACAATGACATTTGTATCCTCGATGTACTCATCTATAACCGCAAAAGGATTCTCTTCTTCTTCATACTCGGTCATGTTTACCTAGCACACCAAGCAAAGCAAGTAAAGTGTGATGGAATAGAAAAAGACGTAAAGTAAATAACACACTAAATAGTAATTTCAAAACCGTACTCCCCGGCAGCGGCGCCAATATTTGATAAGCTCAAATTACATCTAAATAAAAGGTGTAAGGCTGCCGATGTCAAATATAATAACCCAACTAGGTTGGGGTCGAATCCCACAGGGAATAGGTGTCAAACGGTTACTTGAATAGTGTGCAACTTGACTTAGGTAGTAATTCTATAAATGTTAGCTTGAAAATGGTGTTGTAATTATGTGTAGTAAAGAATACGATTGTATTGTGAGAATGTATTTAACTTGATTAAAGAAACCAAGGTTGTGTCCCCATCAATCGAATGTAATGCTATCGGTATTAATATGATATATTTCTAATGGGAAGTTCTTCGATATGCAAATGGTTTCTAAGTGACTACCCAATATTTCCCAATAGTTGGGTAATACCTTCTCTTTAAGATTTTCCCAAATATAAAAGAGTTGCAATTAAAAATAACCAATTTATGCCAAATAGAACCCACTTATTCCTAGGCGATTCTATTAAACAATGGTTAAAGCCTTGAGTTTTTGATATTCAATTCTACCAAACCCTAACCCACCTTTCCAAGTAAAGAAAGAGTAAAATAGAATTATTTAACGTTTGCAACCACTAACAATACATGAAGCATAAGAACTGAATAAATATCAACCAACCATTATACATATATTCAATAATAAACACCCATTAATATTACACCCATTTAGGGTCCACAACCTTAGTAGTTAAAACTAGCTACTCATACGAGAATCCAAGAAGAAAGCAATAAATGAAGTCATAAAGCTTACAAAGATACAAGATTCTTTCTTCAAAAATCTCCAACACAATGGTGCATTCAATGCTCTAAAAGTAGGCTCTTTTTCTGACTCAATACCCCACAAAAACCCTAGTAAATCTATTTATAGTGGACTAAAGGTCGGAGTCAAGATTTGAAAAACATGCCCCTGCAGAACCCTTCTGCGACCGCATAATGGTCGCATACCATGTATGCGGTCCACATAGTTGACACTTGCATCACAGAATTTCAGATATTCAAACCCAGATTTATACCGCATTTCCATTATGCGGTCCGCATATCAGTTATGCGACCGCATTTTCCATCGCAGAAGTGCTACGTAGATTTTTTAGATGCAATTATGCGGTCATTATGCGATCGCAAAAGTGTTATGCGACCGCATAATGGACCGCACATTCTTCTCATCAGTTGGCCCAAAAATCTGCTTTAGTTCGCGGTGAGTATGCGATCTGCATAGTACGTATGCGATCGCATATTTGCAGCAATCCTGCCCTTTTGTGGCTTTTTGACTTCTTTTCCATGTTTTTGGGTCTTCAAGTCTCATACACTACAAAACACCAAAACTTCATAAGAATTAACTAAAAATGCATTGAAAGACGAGCTAAAGTCTATGTAATTGGTATCTGATAGCATCAAGGACAAGGATAGAGTTTTGGAAGCTCCAAGGCCATTTACAAGATCTCAAGCTAAAGAGCTGCACTCTAAGGTTGCTGGACTTCAATGGCAAATAAAGAAGCTTTTAATTGTAGAGGAAGAGCTCAAGCCCAAAGTAGATGAATTATCCAAGTTTTACAATTATTTGGTGATCCAAATTGAAGTCCAAGAGGAGGAAGATTGGGCCACCAAATCAGCCCTTGAAGTCCACCAAAGGGGCTCAAAATGAGCTTAAAAGAGGTCCAAAGGGGGTGTTTCAAAGGGAGCCCAATTGGAGTCCAAATCAATGGCCCAAACTAGTAGTTTTAAGGTCCAAATCTGCCCCAAAGGGATTTGGCCGCCCCCCACCTAATTGTAATGAATTTTCTTACTCCTTAGCAATCACCCTACCTAATTGTAATGACTTTTTATGCCTTAGCAACCAC